CCTCCTCACTAATATGCCAGTATCTCTAGTTTGTACCTGCCAGTTCTTGAAAGTGAGAATCGTGTTAGAATAGTAGAGGGAGGTACATGTGCTAGTATAGATGGTGCAGCATGATTGGTGGAAGGTAGCCACATTGATCAGCACATGTTCAGAAATGGCATGAAAATGAAGGGGTATAATAGTGATAAAATTTTTAGCAATGCTAAGGAGGCAAACCAAGTCGAGATAGCTTTGGGTGATAGGAGGTAAGTACTATTGGAAATACGTTTTCAGTATAAGAAAATGTTAACTTTTGTAATTTATCGTATGATTAAAAGACCAGTATGACGGAGTAGGTAAAGAATACTGCTTCCTGAGCTTTTGCCCTGTGATCAGAAAGTTGTAACTTTGTGGACTCCTGAAGTGCTAGTGCCTATTATTACTTCCACAAGGACACAAATTTAGGAAAGTAAGATGTGTGGTGTTACGAACACTATCAAAAGAGATGAATTTATAATTTATCTAGCACTAGAAAATAAACTTAAGCAATTAGAAACATAAAATGTAAAAAAAGAAGTACATTTATAATTTATTTAGCACTAAAGTAGCTCAAGAATTGGTGGAGGATGCTTCCAGCTAGTTGCTGTGACAGATAGCCTTAATATTTTTGCTATAACTCGAAAAGAAATATAACACCCCCATGGCTGAACAAACATGAATTAACCAAAAAATAGTAATGAGATTTCATAATGAAAATATTTTGATTACTTGGATAGTTGGAATAATATAAGAATATTAATAATTGGAAATCCTAATTTTGATTAAGTTATTTTTGTGAGTTGTGACACTAATAAATTTAACTGAATATACATGAATTAGTCAAATATAATGATGAGAAATCACAATGCAATATTTTAGATACCAGCTAGTTGAAATAATCAGAAATGGTGATATCAAATATTTATTTTCATGACATTAATTGATTTAATCACAATTTCAATTAATTTGTTACTCTATGGGATATATATTGATATAATCGATGCTCATATGAAATTGAGTTAATCACCCAGTTCTGTTTTGTATCCTCATAAAGTCATAAAGTGTTTTTTTTTTTTGATTTATTATCTTTACTGTTCTTCTTCTTGACTGTATTGGCAAACAGTAATGTGTCATAATAATTTACCTCAGAGCCAGGCTCTTCTAAATTCACACTATCTGAGCTATTTAATTTTATTTTTATCAGTCAAAAGACACTGTCAGGAATGATTTTGTAAAGTTTGTTTATACACAGTTACACTGATTAAGCTGTTTAGTCAAGTAAATTTTTGACTGTAAATGAAACTAACAAATGGTATTTATCTTTGATAGGTTATTTAGGCAGAGTATTCATAATGAATCTAAGTTTCAAATGGACAGCAACTGCCTGTT